GGGAGGTCTCGTCACCGGGAGCGGGTCGGTAGCGGTAGGTCTGCTTCATATGTTAATTATTCCTTTCGTTCCGAAGGCAGCTGAATTCAGACACAAAGTGTGTACTAAGGCTAAGGGAAGTGGGATCCCCCTTTTTCTCTGTATGAAGCTAATACAGCCAGATATTCATGCTCTTACAGTTTTTCTTGATATTTATTTTATCTCTCAACATCTGCTTTCAGCTGCAGATTTACACGGCTTCATTATCAGCTTTCCGTTTCTCAAGCTTTTCCATGTAATAATACAATGGGAAGTCCCCGATTTCTGGTTCTTTTTTATGTTTTCCTTTAAGTAATTGGACTTACATGTTACATCCATAAAGAAAATTGCCAATAATTAGCAGAAGTACAATTAGGAATAAATCTTTGTTAAGGAACAAGCTAAAGTTCAGTGTCTTTATGCAAATGCCTATTGTTGAAAAGATGTCTTGTGTAATCAGGAATTATACTGACAAGTGAAGAATCATTTAATTAATGAGAACAGAGCAATCATTTGGATGGTTCGTTCTATTACAGAATGAATAAAAGAGAGAAAATAGCCCTGCTCAGGGATTAGTGTTGCTGCTGGAAGAAATAAGCCCCACAATGTTGTTCTGTGTCTGCCTTGTGTACATAGTACAATAATTCCTAAATATAAAAACACATATGCCAAATGTTTGGATTGGGCATCAAAAATTAATCTTCTGTTACTCCACAAGAACTTATACAACAGGGTCCTGTTTACGCTGACTGTCTGCTGCTCCTGCTAACCTGACGGACTGGAATGTTTGGGCCAAAATAGTCACATTAGCCCTCATGCAGGATGCTAGGACAGCAAGAACCAGAATCCGGTGCGTTATGTCTGTAAGCACTGTACCTCATGATGGAGAGTAGTGTACGGACTGTGTCTGCAGTTGCAGAGGAGTAATTATGGTAGGAAAGGACCTCCGGAGCTCTCCAGCCCAGCCCTCTGCTCGAAGCAGGTCCAGTTAGGTAAGGTGTTGCTCTGGGCCTTGCCCAGTGGGCCTGTGAGTGTTGCCAAGGATGGAGATGCCACAAATTCTCTGTTCCAGCCTCTGACCTCTCCCATTTTCCTTTTATCTTGTCCGAATTGCTCATGTTCCAGTTTGTCCCAGTGGGATCTCTGCCTGTCACAGGGTCTGGCTCAGGCTTCTTTACACACTCCCAACGGGCAGCTGTAGGCAGCAGTGACAGTAATCCTGCATGTGGTCCTCGTGCCTCCAAAGCTCCTCTGAACATGGGTGTCTCATAACAGCTGTTCTCTCTTGCAGCAGCAGAACGGAGAGTCCTCCCGTCCTTCACTTATCCCTGCCCCCTCAGGAAGCTTCAGGAGAGGCTTCCCTAAGTTGGCATCGGGTCTGGGACAATTCAAAATACAGCCCAGGCAACTCTGACCACCTTTGCCATTCCCCAGGGCTGGACCTTTGCCCATGTACTGTCAGCAGGCGTTGCGCAAAATTTGTCCCACTTGTTATAAACACAAAGCTATGCAGACAAGGTGATTCTGGCATCTCCAAAGCCACGCATATCACCTGCGGTCTGTTCCTCACAGGCACTGTTCCCCTTGGCACAGCACAGAGGTGGGCAAGCAGTTCCCTTCTGAACAGGTTGGGATCTCAGCCGTGGGGTGCACAGCTAGGTGGGAAGCAGAAACTTACTCCAGAGATGTGCTGGGGTTTAAGCCAGTGATGGCTGCGTGAAGTCTCCCGTTCCTGGTAGAACCACAGCATAAGTATCTGGTCACTCGGATGTGCCGTAGAAAATGTAGTGGCTTCGCTGACATGACTGCCTATTCAAGGGTCATTAGAGATTGAATGATCTCCGTATAGAGCAGTTGCCCTGTGCATCCGAGGTGCATTCAAGCTCCCTTTCATAATACTGCATTTTTCTGAGGTTGAGGCAGACCAGTGCACGGAGCTGTTATGGCAGCCCTGAGTCAGTGGGACAGCTTTTCTTCCCCCTTCAATGCAGTACAGTCTCTGGTAGCAACTTCCCAGACCTCTGCTGGTTTGTGTACACTTGGGTTTTTTGCATGCTGTGTCAAATGATTGCACAAGTAATTGTTTGCCTTCCAACACTGAAATGAAAAACAAATTTATTACATGAAGGAAAACATTCCCCCTGTTTTATTCTTTCAAAGTGCAATCACTGAATTTTTCATTTTGGGTAACCAGATGCACCCAGCTGCTACTGTAGTCACTTCTGGATGTTTTCGAAAAAACACTCTCCTCAGGAATAAATCAACTAAATATGGAAATCTTCTTCCAGACAACATCCTCATTTCTCGAACTGCTCATGCCACAGGAACTCTAGCTAGATGCGCTGGCCTTGCAAGCTGCCCTGTAAATCTCTGACGGTGGGCTGGGTACGTAGGTGCAAGGACGAGTGAATGCCGCAGCAAACCTTCCCAGGGAAATTGCTTACCAGCAGGTCACACGCTCCCATTGAGCAAGGTTAGTTTAGGTCTTTACTGACTGCAACCAATATGGTTCTGCTACGTTTCCGAAGCAGCAGGCAGGTAACCTGATAAAGATCAGTTTACAACAAGGTAACCTGTATCCTGTGGCACATCTGAACTGTATTTTTTTTTTTTTTTGGTTGAAATATGTCTTCTCCAGTGGTTAGAATGCAAAATAGATATTGTCAAATACCTAATGCATTACAAAAGTCAATTGACATAGTCTGTACTGAAAGCCTTTAAGAAAATACAGTATATTAAATAAAGCATTTTCATTAAGGGTCTTAAAACAAGGAAAGAGAGACTCATAAGTGCTTTGCTGTATCTAGAGTGGAGCATAGCTGTGCATATGCTCAGTCTTACAGGCAACCCCATATTCCGGCTTTCTTTTCTGACTAAATCAGTCCATCTGGATCTAGCAGCTGCTTGCCTTTCCAAGACACATGGGAAGGCTGCAAGCAACCGGATTACACCCTTGCGCTCTCAGATGCCACCTCCACTGCCCCACTGTAACCCCCAACTCTGTGCTTTCTCCTCCAGGATTTTGGAGCTGCAGCAGAACGGCGACATGGACATACTGAAGCATAAGTGGTGGCCAAAGAACGGTCAATGTGATCTTTACTCGTCTGTGGATACCAAACAGAAAGGAGGTGCCCTGGACATAAAAAGTTTTGCAGGTGTTTTCTGCATCCTCGCTGCTGGGATTGTCCTATCCTGTTTCATTGCAATGTTGGAAACGTGGTGGAATAAAAGGAAAGGCTCCCGGGTTCCATCAAAAGAGGTATTAGACCCTCCGTTTCTCCTGGGAAATTTTCATGCACCCTAAAGATTGCTGCCTTGACTTTATAACATTAGAGAGGGTGGGGAATCAAATTCAGAGGAATTTCCTCAGCTTCCTGATTTTTTAAGGTAAAAATTGTTTCTCAGAATCTCTTTAGTAGCTATTGTCTCTAGAAGAGCTTGAATGAAAATAAAATGCATATCGATGATGTATAAATATGCAACTATTCTGAGTAAAACACAGCTGTTACTTGTAGAATAGTACATTATTAATACATCATTAGTTAGTTCATTATTCCCATTGGTGAGAGCTAATTCTTACCAGGAAGTTGAAAGGTTTCTTGGCGGCTTCTTGAAAAATCTATCCCCTAAGCTCAGTGGCTGAGTCTTTCAAAATAGATTTGCAAAGTTTAGCCCTTTATCAGCAATTAGCTTCTTAAATAAGCTTGTCCCTGTTTTCAAAAATGTTAACCTCTTGAGGCTTCCATGAACTTCAGCTCTTGTTATATAATCTGAAGTCCAGGGAAGCAAGAGTACATCAGATTTTTCAGATTCAGGCCAGACTTGTTTCTGAAATCTGCTACAGACCTGTTTCAGAAAATCTTGGATGGAGACCACGGGGAGATACATTATTTTACACCAGAGATGAGTCTGCTACTACACCTGTACGTGTAATGCTTTCCTTCCCGTGGCAATCTACCTGTCCCTTCCCCAGCCATCTGAGCCTTATGTGGTCTTACAACAAACTTCTTACCTTCATAATTAAATCTTTAGCTCTACAAAATGCTAGAAAGACATTAGAGGAAAAAAAAAGTGATTAAAATGTACTTGGCAGCGATGCCCAAAGCTGAACCTAAATATGAGCTTTAAGGTAGCACTATCAATTATAGCTTTACTATCTGTGTAGCTTAGACATCTGCGTAGCTCGTGGGGTATTGCTGTTAATTTGTGTGCAGTGGGCTCACCTTCTCTGCAGTTCCTCCATTGTGTTTATTCCTGCTAATCTAATGCTGTGTAATCAGGCAGGATTCATTACACTACCTAATTAGACAGCATTGGCACTGATGTTAGAATACGTTTAATCTTTTCTTGCCTGTTTTAATTCCCAAGCTTTTTTTTTTTTTGTTCAAGATCTGGACCGGACCATTACTAAAAGAAAAAAAAGAATCTCTGTTTTTTCAATTGGGTTTCTCAGGAATAGAAACCATGTAGTTTCAACTGGTAAATTATTTTGAAAACCTAAAGTTTACTTGAATGTTGTTCACCCAAACTTTCAGAACTTCATACTTATCTGGTGCAAAACATAAATAACAAAGGATAAGAAAAAAACAACACAAATACTTTATATAACTATAAAATTTCGTATTTCAATTCTCAGATGCAGAGAAATTCAAATGTATACTTTCCACAAATGGTATAATTTGGCCTCCTCAATCTTTGTTACATGGTCATTAGCTTAGCATTTAAAATTGCATCTCAACGCTAAATTGAAAAGCTTGGCTCAAAACTGAGTTTAACGTGGACGTATGTGCTGAATGTCCCCACTATCCTGGATGTGGGGGTCATTCAGCAAAGAAATACATCTTAACTAACTTTCTTAAAATTCATTTTAGCTTCCATGAAATCCATTGGCTCTTCCAGGCCACTAGTCCAGAATCGGGGGTCAGATTGGGCCAGTTTGTGGTCAGCAAGCCAACCCTTTTTCCTGGTGGCTGCCATCTTGTGCTCCAGAATGCAAGCATTTATACTGAAAAAAGTTGTCTTGTGGTTGCGAAGATAACATTTCGGTCGCGTACCAGAAGTAATCCATTCAATGATGTCTGCCTGAGTCTGCAGACAGCCTTAAACGGTAGCTCTGAGAGAAGTATGAACCGCCCCAGTAATCTCAATGGGATGTTGACTCTGAAGCCTGATGATAATTTAAATGTGAAAACTGCTGAATATTTCACTACTGATCACACAAGAGAGAAGAGGAAAGATCATATTGTGGAGATATGCACAATCTTACTGTGAGTGGGTCTCATTTTGGTGTATCGATTGGGTGGAGATCGGGTTGTGGGCTGAGCATGGGAGGATATCACCACTTATATATTTTCACTGGTCTGACCCTAGCCCCAAATGCATCTCTGTAAGAGGAGAAAAAGGAATATTTTGCATAATTTACAGAGGCTCAGAAGTGATGAAATTCCAATCTTTCCAATTCGTATTGTAAGTTACAAAGTGTTTGTATGTTTTTTCAAAATTAAAAAAACAAACAAACAAAAAAGGCAAAAAACCAAACCAAAACAAAAAAACACAACAAAAACCAAAACCCAACCAAAAAAAAAGGAAAATATTTAGGACTGTCCCTCAGCGACGTAGTCGTGACTTGCACTTGCTAACAGAGCCTCTGTACATTTCTTTAGCTTCCAATGCGGCCCCAGTTCTCCTGCATCCATATGCAGCTCCAAAGTTTTTAGGAGAGAGCGTTTGGTTTTGGTGTCACCTGTGTGGTTGTTATGTGCATCCGTGTCCATGTCCACGTGTGAATAAACTATAGACAGAAAGCGAAGTCCGAGAAATGAGCGCTGCATTTTTTCCCTCCCATGATGGGCTCAAACCAAAGCCTCTGTGGTCAGTGATTGTCCAGTCCCCGGGAGATCCCTGATGCCCCGCTCCCTGCCCCTTTTCCCCTGGTTTGTCTCCCTGTTCCTGCCCTCGGAGGGTAAAATCCCAGAGGGCAGCTGGCCTCTCAGCCTCCTTCCAGTCGGGCTCTGTGTTCGGCGTGGTACCAGTGCAAATATTCCCTGACCTGTTTTTGCTAAGTAGATGAACTCCTGCAGTTTGTTCTAGGTGTGGACTTTTTCAGAGTGCTTGACTTCATTCCTAGGCAAAGGAGGGATCTCCAGCCCGTTTGGTATACTAGGAGTTTTGCCATTGATTCAGGGAGCTCTGGATCAAGCCAGTCATTGCATTGCAGTAATCAAGGCTGGAAGTCATCAGTGCACATCTGTCGGCTGCCTAATTATCCTCTGTGAGGTCCTAGAGTGTGAGATATTTCTAGTGGCCTGGAAGAGCCAGTAGATTTCACAGAGATTAAGGTAAATTTTAAGGTTAGTTGAAACCGATTTTTGTTCTGCGCTACATAGACTGAGGGAACACCTCTGTACGTGTGTGCTTAATGCCGCTTTGAATTCAGCTTTGCCGTTCAGTAGAAGTACCTGTGTACAATACAGGTGATTTATTGTGTCACCCAGGACTTTCTCCTCCTTTTTTAACTTCCCTGCATTTAAAGTCTCAATTATAACAAAGCAACCTGTTTAACTTGAGTGCTCTGGGAGGAGAGATTTAAGAAGGAAAAGGGACAGAGGTAAGAGGAGGGACATGATGATAAATGCTGCAGGCCGCCTTCTCTTCTTCTCACCCACAAGAGCATAATTCCATCAGAATCGATGGAATTGCTTCTTTGGAGGTAAGGGGAGAACGCATCCCTCTTTTGGCATTCTCATTTAAAATTGCCTGGTGTACTCCCGTCTATGTGATGTCAGCGAGTCACCAGTGCTTGGATTTTTGTCTGGAAGTTCAGCTTTTCTATGCTGCAATTTATAATAAAAGGCAAAATGCAGCCTCAGGTGTTATTAGTCCTTCCTTAAGCCCTGAGAGGATGACAGAGACGGCAACCTGATCCCTCAGAGCCTCCCATGTTGACATCCAAACTTAGTCCTCCATGCAGAGCTGAAGAACTGGCACCACCCCGAGGCGTTCAAGATTATGCTTTGCTTTCATGGCACGAAGTTTACTACTGTTCACTGTTTCTAGTCCAACCCACCTAGCTCCGAGCCCAGCTTTTCCTGACAGAAACCAACTGGTAGTGCTTGGAGTTTTGGTGTTCGTGTTCAGGGTTTGGAGGTAGCTGTGGTGTGAGAGTCTGCCTCCGTCTGGCTAAGCCCACCCAGCGTCAGGCGGTGGGGCTGTTGGCTGGTGACCTCCAGAAATGCCGTCAGCTGACAGCCAGCTGTAGTTCATTGCGTGTTGTGCTTCCCAAGCGGTTCTGATTGCACTGTGAAGCTTCAACCCAGCACAAACGGCAATGGTGAGCAGTGTTTTTTGTTTTTCTCACTCCCCAGGATGACAAGGAGATCGACCTGGAGCACCTCCACAGGCGCGTGAACAGCCTCTGCACGGACGACGACAGTCCCCATAAACAGTTCTCCACCTCGTCGATTGACTTGACCCCGCTGGACATTGACACTCTGCCCACACGCCAGGCGCTGGAGCAGATCAGTGACTTCAGAAACACTCACATCACCACAACCACCTTCATACCAGAGCAGATCCAGACTCTGAGCCGCACGCTGTCTGCTAAAGCTGCTTCGGGCTTCTCCTTCGGCAGTGTGCCCGAGCACCGAACTGGCCCCTTCAGGCACAGGGCACCCAATGGTGGCTTTTTCAGAAGCCCCATCAAAACAATGTCATCTATCCCTTACCAACCAACTCCTACTCTGGGGCTGAATATCGGTAGTGACCCAGACCGAGGCACCTCCATCTGAGCACCAGACCAAGTTCCTTCACTGTTTCTTTTTTAGGACTCCCTTGGCAAGGAGCAGCGGTAATGTTGTGGGACTAACATGGATGTAACCTTTTTCCTTTTCCTTATTTTTTGGTTTTGATGGATATTTTTTTAAATTTGTTTGAGCGTTGTTTTCTGTTAGGGGCTTTTTTTTCACCTTTTTTCTTTATTTTATTTAAGAACCAGGACTATTAGTAACAACTCTTCCTCCTACTCCTCTCTGCTCTCTCAGTCTGGTCTCCTCTGTCTCCTTTTGTTCTTTTTACTACTTGAATCACTTATTCTTAGGTTTGTCACCATGTTAGGTTTTGGTTACTTCAGGCTTTTCATAAACTTTAAAGATAGGAAATGTGCAGCGATTAATGCGTAAGAAAACCCCTGAGGATTACTTTACAGAAGGGCATTGGCTCCTCCTCCCCCACCACCTTTTTTTACTATAATTGCAATAACTTAAGTCCTTTTCATGTATTCTGCTGCCTTCAGTCAGCGCTCCACTGCTCTGCGTCCTTTTAACTGTGGACCAAAGGCAAACCCTGCAGTTTAAAAAAAATAAAAAATTTTAAAAAAAGACAAAAAGACAAAAAAGGAAAAAAAAATTAAAGCAAAACAAATGAAGTTAAAAGATCATTCAGGCCCCATAATATGAGAATGCAATTTTGTAGGATGACAAAAAGCCATTACTATGCCAGTAAAGACTACAGTTAAATCTACTTTTGCACTGCAACAGTGCATATGACCTTTATGTGATTGTACAGTATTAAAAGTTTTTCTTATGTACAGTAAACTGTATAATATGGCAGAAGCCTCTGTTGTGTTAAATAAATTAGTATCTCATACATATATATATATACATATATACACACACATATGTGTATATATATATACATGTATATATAGCTATAAAATGGCAGCCGTTGCTATTGCAGTTCATTTAATAAAGCTTTAGTAAAAATGTGTTGTATACAAGAAAGAGATGTACAGTGCAGGGGGTCTTTTCATTTAGAAAAGACAGGTTGCTTTAATGTTATTCTGACTTGCATTGTTTACCAACAGAGCATATTTTATACTTTTTTATTAGAGCATCTGGGGAAATGTAACGTTTGTACCTAGATGTAACTCCTTTGGTTAGGTTTTGCATTGGCTATTGAGCATTCTATAAGGCTAACCTTGATAATTTTATTGGAACATTCACTTAGGTATACCACATTCATGAACAGCTAATATAGCTCTAGAGAAGTTTAAACATAGATCAAAGGTTAATAGATTGTTTTCCAGATCAGTACAGTTGATCAATACAATAATGGTGTTAGTGGAGGAAAAAAAAAAAAAGCCCTTGAGAAATACAGATGTGGCCTTAATTATAATCATTTATTGTTCTAAGGAAAAAAAAAATATAAACAGGCACTCGTTTCAACCCTTTACATGTTAAGTTAGATTTAGAGGAGCTACGTATTTTTTACATTAGTGCCAACTGTATAGAACAAGAGAAAGAACAGCAGCGAGAGCAAAACCAGTGCCCACTTTGGCACCAGCTTTTTAAAGTAACACTGTTACCAGTTAGAAACGTAGGAAGAGCTTTCAATCTGTAATCCTTAAAACTAAAAATGCGGTTAAGTAGAAAGCAAGCAGTTTATCCTGTGAGTTTTTTGATTTGGTTTTGTTTTTAATGCAGCCATACACTTATTTTAACCTAACTCATTCTTTGGCTAGGATTACTAGGAATCAGCATATGTGATTTGCTTTAGGATAAATTGAAAGGTATATTCTTCAGATCTATTCTATTTTGATGCTAATTCTGTTCTGGGGGAGCATCTTGTACTGTCACTGTTTTTGTACTAAATCTTCAAATATTGTCTACTGTGTAAGGCAGAACAAATTCTTCTCGTGCAAAAGGCCATTTTGTTTCCAGGGTAGCAAGTGTCTAAAAGCATGCACAACTTGCTTCCCCCTTGTAACATTCATGAACTCATCCTCACTTACGAGTAAAATAAAATAAAAAAAAAAAGATTTCTTTCCAACAAGCTACGTAGGGACATACCAGATGTTGCAGTGATTTTAGCTATTAAAAAAACCTGTTAATCATGTACGATATTTAAAATAGGCCTATTTTGTTGTGTTGCCTATTATACAGATACACAAAACACTTTTTGGAGGCCTCAGTTACAAATGGCAGAGCTTTCTGTGTATAATTTGTCTAAATAATTTGTCTAATAAAATTGTTTTCTAAACTTGCGTTTCCTCCTGTTTAATTGCTGAGTGCTGTGGGATTTTTGGTCTGTGGCAAGGCGTCCGCTCATGACCTTATTTGACACACCGTTGCAGGAGGAGATTTAGCCCATGGAGATGGGATCACCTCACCAGGCTGCCGTGAGCCAGCTCAGTGCACACCATGCAGGGATATGACTGAGACTGACCACATGTATCAATGACAGGCTTGGATTTCAGAAAACACATATGGACAGCATTTCAGAGAATGATTTTAGAGTTCATTGGCACTGACCTGTAAGGGAAATGGTTTGTAGAAACATGGCATCCCACCTCCATCCTTTTCAGTGTAATCTAGGAATTTTCTTGGAACATGGTCATTACTTTTACAGAATCACATTCTGCCATTTTTATGTGCACAGCAGTTAGTTTGCTCTGATACTGGACATACACTACCTTTAGATTTGAGAAAAGTTTTAGTGTGAGAGAATTTAGCCCGTATTTCATTACGGCCTTCTCAATCCTTAAGTTTCATTAACATGTTAAACTTAATGGCTTAGTCATCAGTAATTCATGCAGGATGTACTGCAATAATGTCAGTCGTCATGATAATTTAACTTGCAGCATCCAAAGTTTGTCTGCTGGCTTTTTATATTCAGTATATTTCATTCACTGAATAATATTTTTGACCTCTTACAATTTTCTATTAAGCTTAGCAGGCATTCAGGGGATTTCATTTTGTGGTTTGAAAAATATATTGTCAGGGGTCATCAATTCATTGCTATATTAAAAAAAAATCTGAATACAGACAACATAAAAATCTAAAGAAAGTTAGATTATTGAAAGTGACTTGAGGTTAAACTTTAAAGGTGCCTACGCATGAACACCAGTGGGCTTGTACGTCAGTGGGCACTAAATGTCTACCAACAGGATGCTAGAAGCTTTTAAAATCTGGCTACTTTTGTTTCTTCCTAAAAATCAGCCAGGAGAAAAGCTCTACTCATATTCTCTGAGGCAGAGCTATGGCAAACTGAGCACTGACCCTGCAAGCCCTTACGCACATTACAGTGTGTCTGGCAGGGGTTCCCTTAGCCACGAAGGTGCTTGCATGGTCAGGGGCCTGGTTTTAGGCTATTCCGAAGCTGTGAAGTAATACTGACCTCTTGGAAAGCGCGGTCCTGCTGACATGATGGGTCATGCACTTCAAGGTAGGCACCATCCCTGTCACTTAAGCTCAGATGCACCTCTCTGGAGCTAGGTAGTGTTACAGATGCTGCCTATAATGGGCTGCATCAATGAGAACCTCACAGGACACTTTCCCTCCCTTTCTGTAAACAAAAATCCAGTGAAGTAACAGTGTTAAAGACTGTCAAGTGTGCCTGCTGCAGTAGCTCCAGCAGAAATGTAAGCCAGCCATATATAAAGCTGAGTTGTTTGCGTGGTGCTTCCAGCCATACGACCGCTTTGACGTACCAGCTACCAAGAGAAAGCGAGCAGTGGGAGAAAACGTGTTTATTCAATTTCAAAGAATCACTTAGTATGATGTTTCTATTGACCAACGTTGAATTACCTGGAGATAAAAAACAGTCCTGCTGCGCCAATCAAGTGAATGATTGTAGCTGTCATGGGCTCTGCCGCAGCATGACAGGAGCCAAAGTCTCCTGGGTTTCCCTCCTGTCTTCAGAAAACAAAGTGCTAGTATGGTTTCCCAAGGTGGATCAGATTTTTTACAAGCATTTTTTTTCTTTCTTCCATACTTCTGTAGGATGCTACGAGGTGGTGAGAATGTAAAGCTGCCATTCTGTGCTTGAACACTCACTGTAGCTGGGTCAATATGGCATACCGGAGGTTAATACTCTGGATGAGTTTAGTTTCTCAAATCTGCAGAAAGGTGATGACATGAGAAGTAAACCAGCTTCCCGTGTGCATGCTCCTGGGCATAGCTAATGAAAAAATAAAGTCTCCAAAACAACGAAGGCATCATACCAACACAGCCTTTTTTCACTCGTTTTTCTCTCGGTCCCCATATCCGTGTTTCCCCTTCACTCTGCGAAGATGTTTTGAAAGAAGTGTCACAGTCAAGTATCTGCTCCTAAGTATGAGCCACAGACAAAGTTTTTGATAAACATTGGGACACGAATACACGCATCCACTCACAGTATCAAGACAAGCGTGAGCACACCATCACAACCTGTCAGCTTGTCATCTCTCACACAAGGTGTCGTTCATGAGGTCAGAAATAGCCTCCAAAGGAAGGTTGGTGCGGGCGAAATGATTCACACCCAAATAAATCCTAACCAAAAAAATGCACAAATGCCCCAAAATTACAGGATCCACGAATTTCATGTAAAAAAAAAAAACCCCACCCTTTCAAGATATATGGCTAGAAAAATAAAATTAATCTCTGTCAAGACTTAAAAAATATCTCTAACATTCCTCAGATGGAAGGAAAACATTACAGCCGGACAACTGAGCTGTCAAGTCATTAACTACTGTGCTCCAGGTCACATAGGAAATCTGAAGCAGAAGCAAGCATTCAGCGTCTCGGAACCAGTTCAGTGCTGTGAGGGGAAAAATAAGTTTTCTTCCCTAAATGCTCAGAGAAGGACTTTTAGCTGAGGATACTGGGGCGAGAGGGAGGAAAGCAGGGAGCCAAGAAGAGGGTTGCACTGCCTAGGTGGGTTGGCAGTGAGAAGAGGCAATGGTTCCCCCCGTCACAGGCCAGAGACGCAACTTCACTGCTCCTCCTTCCCCAGTCGTCGTTTCAGACCGGTTTTGGCCACTTAGAACCAGGAGGGGCTGTTCTGGACTTACCTGAGGCTCACATGCAGAGCTGCAGAGGCTGACATGCAGGTCAA